TTGAAGGTGCAGCAGTTGCTGCATCGATATCTGCTTCTGCTCCTGCTGCTGCTGCTGCTGTTGCTGCAGCAGGTGTTGCAGGGTGGCGCAGCAAAGGCTGCAGCAGACCGCAGGGCTGCATGCCTAGGGGCCCAGCAGGAGACACTTTGGTCCTTTGCTGCTGCTGCTGCTGCTGCTTCTGTTTCTGCTGCAGTTGCTGCTGCTTCTGGTAGGCCACAAAGGCTAGAGGAATTGATCGTGTCCTCTCTGCTGCTGTTGCTGCTGCAGTTGCTGCTGTTGTTGCTGCTGCAGTCCCTGCTGCAGCAGATAGTGAGGGGCTAAGGTAGCTGCGCGTTGCTGCAAATGATTTCCTGCTGCTGTTGCTGCTGCAGATGCTGCTGCAGATGCTGCTGCAGCTGCTTGTTGCGCTGCTGTCTGAGAGAGCATTGGTGTCTGTGTCGCTGCTGCCGCTGCTGCTGCTGCTGCTGCCTCTGCTGCTAAAGGTAAGGGGGCCTCTATTAGTCTTGTGCTGCCTGTCTCTTCTCCGCAGCAGCGGCGTTGCTGCTGTTGCTGCTGTTGCTGCACCAACGGAGAATGCTGTGTCTTCGTCCTCTGTGCTGCTGACGTGCTGCTTCTTTCCTGCTGCTGCTGCTGCTAGAGGAGACAGCAGCGCAGCAGGAGATGTCCTCGTGCTGCGGCATATACTTAACCTCCTAGCAGTGCCTTCTGCTGCTGCTGCTGCTCCTGCAGCAGCAGCAGCAGCTCCTGCTCCTGCTGCTCCCTTGTAGCTACCATCCTTCTGCTGCGTAGAGTCTACATTGGATGGATGCGGCAGCAATTGCTGCTGCTGCTGCTGCTGCTGCAGTTCCTCGTGCTGCAGTTGGAGTTGGTGGGGCATCTGGTGCTGCTGCTGGTGTTGCTGCTGCTGCAGGTGCTGCAGCAGGTTGCGCAGCAGCAGCAAATGTTCCTCATTATCTGCTGCTAATTTGCAGTGTATGCGCAGCAAAGTTCTTATCTTCTGTGTTATAACAAAGTTATTTTCCTTAACGCAGCAGCAGCAGCGCAGCAGCAGCAGCAGCGACAGCAGCGCGAGCAGGGAGGACAGCAGCAAGCAGCAACAAAATACTATTGGAGGACCACCCCATACCTGCTGCAGCAGCAAACAATATGCTAATGCATGCAGCAGCAACCTTGCTGCTGCTTCTGTTGTCAGCAGCAGCACGAAGGGACGAACAGCAGACCAAGAAAAGTGTGGGGTAGGTAGAGGGGATCCGCGTACACCCCGTCCTGCTGCTGCTGCTGCTGCTGCTGCTGCAGCTGCTGCTGCTGCTGCAGCTGCAGCAGGAGATCCTCCACCTGCAGAATTATGCCATAAGGGATGAGCATCCATCTCCTGCTCCTGCTGCTCCTGCTGCTGCCGCTGCTGCTGCCGCCGTTGCTGCCGCCGGCGTCGTTTTGCTGCCTTCCTCCTCCTTATTCTGTCTTCTCCCTCTTCAGCAGCAGCAGCAGCTGCTGCTGCTGCTGCTGCGGCCGCTGCTGCTGCTGCTGCTGCTGCTGCTGTAGGTAGGTGCAACTGCTGCGGCGAGATATCTGGTGGCTGGTAACTTCCGCTGTGCTGCGCTGCATCTTCTATAGCCCCTGCAGCAGCAGCAGCAGCAGCAGCAGCAGCAGGATCACGCCCACCGCCAGAACCAGCATCAGCAGCAGCAGCAGCAGCAGCAGCAGCAGCAACAGCAGCTGCAGGAGGAGACTGCCCTATTATAAATCCTCTAGTAAGAAGTGTTCTTCTTCCTCTTCCTCCTGTCTCTGGTTCCTCGAAGCAAAGACATGCAGTTGCTGCTAAGCAGCAGCCGCTGCCAGCAGCAGCAGCAAGCAGCAGCAGCAGCAGCAGCAAATAAATACTTGTATGCCATGAAAACACTGTTGCTGCTATAAATGTATTAAGTGCTGCAGATAAGCCTCCTGCTGCTGCTGCTGCTGCTGGTGTTGCTGCTGTTGCTGCTGCTGCAACGCTAGCAGCACTTGGTGACGCATAAAGCAGCAGCAGCAGCAGACAGATCCCTGCTGCTGCTGCTGCTGCAGCAAGCAGCAGCAAACCTTTTCTTAATGTATATACCCTCCCCTTAGGTGTATCGGCAAGGAGGCCCCCCCATAGGGCCCCCATTGCCTGCATGCAGAGAGCAGCAGCAACGCATGCATCTGGTTGCTGCTGCAGCAGCAGCGGCCACGATACCCAATAAGATGGGACCCATGATTCTGCTGCTGCTGCTGCTGTTGCTGCTGCTGTTGCTGCAGCAGCAGGAGAATATAGAGGTGATGACCACGGTGGACCCGCTGCTGCTGCTCCTGCTGCTGGCAGTGACCGATCTGCTGCTGCTGCTGCTGCTGTTGCTGCCGTTGCTGCTGTTGCTGCATGCGTCGTCGTCGTCGTCGGAGGCTTTGTATCGAAGCGGACCCGCAGCCGCTGCTCCTTCCGCTGCTGCTGCTGCTGCTGCTGTTTGTACTGCTGCTGCTGCTGCTGCTGCTGCGGTTGTTGCTGTTTGTGCTGCTGATGCTGATGCTCACGATGGATGTCATCGTGCCTGCTGCTGCGTGCAACTGCAGCAGCAGCAGCAACTGCAGCAGCCTCAGGAAACATATCCTCTACCTCGAACAGCTGATGCTGCAGCACATGTCCTCCCTGCTGCTGCTGCTGCTGCTGCTGCTGTAGCAGCTGCTGCTGTACCAGCTGCTGCACCGTCTGCTGCTGTGGCACCAAGGAGACAAATGGCAGCAGCTCGAAGCAGCAAAGGAGACTGTGTGCTGCTGTTGCTGCTAATAAGAATATTGACACCCTAACAGCACGGCTACACATCCTGCTGCTGCTGCTGCTGTTGCTGCTGCTCCTGTTGCTGCAGCGGATGCTGCTGCCTCTATCGTGATCCATCTTGGCGCAGCCTTGTGTGCTTGCTGCTGCTCAGGAGCTTTAGTAGCAGCAGCACCTGCTGCTGCAGCTGCTGCAGCTATGTACGGTTGGCTGAGCAGCAGCAGCAGCAGCAGCAGCAGCTACTGCCACTGTAGTGGCTGCAAAACCCGCAATGAAAGTTGCTGCAGCAGCAGCATCTGCTGCTGCTGCATGTGCTGCTATGACACCACAACTTCTCCTTAAGTAGCCGAGAAGCAGCAGCAGCAGCAGCACCGTGTGCTGCTGCTTAGGTAGCTGGCCTGACCTGCTGCTGCTACTGCTGCTTCTGTCGCTGCCGTTGCTGCTGTTGTTGCTGCTGCAGCTCTACCGCTGAAACACAGCAGCAGGCTGCTGCTCCCGATGCAGCAGCAGCAGCAGCAGCACCACCACCACCAGATTCACTGAACCCGGTGATTCTGACGGTGTTACACTGCAGAAAACCTGCTGCTGCTGCTGCTGCTGCTCTTGCTGCTGATGTTGTTGTTGCTGCTGCTGAGACTTCTGTTACTGCTGCTGTTGTGACCCGAGCAGCAGCAGCAGCAGCAGCAGCAGGAGCAGCAGCAGCAGCAGCAGCGTTGTTAGCAGCTGCTACACACCAAATAAGAAACAAGAAAACTTAATCAGAGTATTTTTATTTGCTGCTGCAGCAGAAGGCTTCAGCAGCAGCAGCAGCAGCAGCTGGTGTTTCTGCTGCTGCTGGAGCCCCCCAGCCAGTACCACCAACAGCAGCAGCAGCAGCAGCAGCAGGTGTGTTGCATGCGTGCTTCCTGCTGCGGCAAATAACGAAGGTTTTTATTACTTTTGTCCTCCCTGAATACTCTATGGGAGACAACTGCAGCAGGAGCAGCAGCAGCTGCAGCAGCAGCAGCAGCAGCAGCAATGCAGGGCCTCAAAGACATAGCAATAGGAAGGCGCAGCTAAGCCAATCAGCAGCAGCAGCAAAACCCTAGCAGCAGCAATCCCTGCTGCTTTTTTTTGCTGCTGCACACACATTTTCATACAAGCTGCAGTAACTGCAGCAGCAGCAGCAGCAGCAGCGGCTGCTGCTGCTGCTGAATCGGCAGCTGACAGTCTTCCTAGCCTTAGCAGCAGCCCTGTGTTGTCTGAATTTCCCTAACAGCAGAAGCAGCAGGAGCAGCAGCAGGTGCAGCAGCAGCAGCAGTCGGAGGGGTACAAGAGGCAGAAGCAGTAGCCAGCTTCTGCTGCTGGTGCTGCAGCAGCAGCAAGAGCAGCAGCAAGACAACGCAGCAGATGTCTACCCAGTGGTGGCTACAGCAGGTGCAGTGGGAGACTGACGCTGCTGCTGCTGCAGATGCCTCAACCCCCAGGAGCAGCAGCAACAGCACAAGCAGCAGCAGCAGCAACAGCAGCAGCAGCAGCAGCAGTGTACCTGTGAGCGAAGATTGCCTTCTTAATGATGTGCTGCAGTTTGTCTATGAGCAGCAGGAGGCAGCAGCAATTAATGTTATTGAGGTGTCTGTGCTGCAGTCTTTGCTGCTGCTGCTGCAGCAAGCAGCAAAGTGTCCACGTAAGGATGAGGGGCCTGCAGCAGCAGCAGCACTTGTTGCTCAGGCAGAACTAGCTGCTGCTGAAGGCAGCAGCAGCAGCAGCAGCAATAGCAGCAGCAGCAGCAATAGCAGCAGCAGCAGCAATAGCAGCAGCAGCAGCAGCAGCGGCAGCAGCAGATGTGGGGTGTCTGCTGCATATGCTGAGCTGCAGCTGCTGCCTGTTGATAATACACCAACAGTCTTTGGCTGCTGGGGACCCTTCTGCCTTATTTTCTATCGGCAGCAGCAGCAGCAGCAGCAGCAGCAGCAAGAAGGGCAGCACGAGCAGCAGCAGCAACAGCAGCAGCAACAGCAGCAGGAACAGCAGCAGAGGGGATCTGCGATTCAATGTAAGAGAGGTAAGAGACAGCAGCAAAAGCGGGAGAAACAGCAGCACGCTCAGCAGCAGGTAGAGCAGCAGAAGCAGCAGCAGCAGCAGCCGCAGCAGCAGCAGCAGCAGCCACAGGAGCAGCAACAAAGGGAGGAGCAGGAACAGCAGGAAGTTGATATTCAGCAGGAGTTGCTGCAGCAGCTGGAGACAGCTGACGAAGAGCAGGTGCAGCAACTCCTGATAAAACTGCAGCAGCAGCACCTGCTGCAGCAGCAGCAGCAGCACCAACTGCAGCAGGAACAGCAGCAGCAGCAGCTGCTGCTGCAACAGGAAGAGGACATACAGCGGCAGTTGCTGCAGCAACTAGAGGCAGCTAATGAAGAGGAGGCGCAGCAGATCCTCTTACAACTGCAGCAGCAGCAGCAGCACCAGCAGGGACTGCAGCAAGAACAAGAACAGCAGCAACAGGAGCAGCAGAAGCAACAGCAACAGAAGCAGCAGCAACAGGGAGAAGATATACAGCGCGAGTTGCTGCAGCAGCTAGAGACAGCAAACGAAGAAGAGGCGCAGCAACTCCTTATAAAACTGCAGCAGCAGGATCAGCAGCAGCAGGAGCAGCAGCAACTCCAGCACAGGGAGGAGCAGCAACTGCAGCACGAGCAGCAGCAGGAACAGCAGCAAGAGCAGCAGCAATGGCAAGATTTGCTGCAGCACCCGCAAGGTCAGCAGAGCAGCAGAGCAGCAGGAAGTGTAGATACATGGAGAGAGGCAGGTAAGGGCAGCAGCAGCAACAACAACAACAACAACAGCAGCAGCAATAGCAAGGGCAGCAGCAGCAACAGCAGCAGCAGCAAGTGCACCAACAGCAATAGCAGCAGCAACAGCAGCAGCAGCAGCAGCAGCAGCAGCGCACTGTTTAGGCCATTTCAAGGAACAAGCTTCTCTATGCCTGGACATTTTTACTGCAGCAGCAGCAGCAACAACATGATGAACAGCAGCAGCATTAGCAGCAGCAGCAACAGCAGCAGCAGCAGCAGCAGCAGCAATAACTGCTGCTGCTGCAGCAGAATAAATTGCAGCAAAGAGGAGCTGCAGCTTATAGAAGCAATAAGAGCGCATGCAAATGGCAGCAACTTAGTCTGTCCTCGGGGCTGGATGCTGCGTGGTGCTGTAATAGATGGGTGCAACGTTGCTGCTGTGCGTCTGCTGCAGCAGCAGCAGCAGCAGCAGCAACAGCAGCAGCAGCAGCAGCAGCAGGTAGTATTTGATATAAGGAGACTATTAAGATGTGTAGAGACACTAAGGAGACACAAGACAGGAGACTGCCGTATAATAATACCTAATTGGTTGTATGAATTGGGGCTGCATGCAGAAGCAGCAGCAGCAGCAGCAGCAGCAGGTGCTGCTGCTGCTGCTGCACTTGAAGCAGCAAGAACTGTATCAGGAAGAGGGAAGCAAAAGAAGAGAAAAAAATTACTGCTTAGATATCAGCAGCAACTGCAGCAGCAGCAGCAGGAGACTATGCTTATGCAGCAACTGCAGCAGCAAGGATTAGGACTAAGAACAACAGCAACTGTGCTGCATTTGCTGCTGCTGCAGCAGCTGCAGCAGCAAGGTTTATTGATTGTTGCTCCTGAGGGTTACCCTCAATTAACTCCCCATCCCTCCTCCTCCTCCTCCAGCAGCAGCAGCAGCAGCAGCAGCAGCAGCAGCAGCAGCAGCAGCAGCAGCAGCAGCAGCAGCA